CAAGCTATACATTGTGCAGGCTCGTCCTGAGACAGTTGCCTCTCAGAAGAAGGTGGGCGTCATTGAGGAGTACAAGATGCTGGAGAAGGGCGGCGAGACGGTCGCAGAGGGCCGTGCTGTAGGCAAGCGAATCGGCAGTGGCAAGGTGAACATCTTGACCAGCATCGACCAGATGGCCGAGTTCAACCAGGGTGAGGTCCTGGTGGCAGACATGACTGACCCTGACTGGGAGCCCATCATGAAGAAGGCTCGATGTTTGGCTGCCTTGCATTCATGTTGTTAGACTTTGGCTAACATCGAGACGGCTCTTAAGGTATGCATTTGTGCTGAGAGGCCGGCGCAATCATCACCAACCGCGGTGGGCGCACCTGCCATGCAGCCATCATTGCCCGGGAGCTGGGCATCCCGGCCATCGTCGGTTGCGGAGATGCCACGGACAAGGTCAAGAAGGGCGACCCCGTCACTGTGTCCTGTGCCGAGGGCGACACCGGGTACATCTACAAGGGTGAGCTGAAGTTCGAGAGGAACGTTCAGGACCTGGGTGAGCTTCCCGAGGTAGGCTTGAAGATCATGATGAACGTTGGCAATCCGGAGACGGCCTTCAGCTTCGGCCAGCTCCCCAACGAGGGCATTGGCCTGGCCCGTCTCGAGTTCGTCATCAACAACGCCATCGGCGTGCACCCCAAGGCCCTCCTGAACTACGACACTCTGGATGCCGAGACGAAAGCCTTGGTCGATGAGCGAATGAGGGGCTATGGCAGCCCTAAGGAGTTCTACATCAACAAGATTGCTGAGGGTGTGGCCACCTTGGCTGCCTCCGTGTACCCCAAGCGCATCATTGTGCGCCTGTCCGACTTCAAGTCCAATGAGTACAAGAGCTTGATCGGAGGAGAGCAGTACGAGCCTGATGAGGAGAATCCCATGATTGGCTTCCGTGGCTGCGGGCGATACACCGACCCCTTCTTCGAGGAGTGCTTCGCCATGGAGCTGGAGGCCGTGAAGATTGTGCGCGGTGAGATGGGCCTGAAGAATGTGGAGATCATGATCCCGTTCGTGCGTACCCTGGACATGGCCAAGGATGTCAACGAGGTCCTGGAGAAGAACGGCCTGAAGCGAGGTGAGGACGGGCTGAAGGTGAACATGATGGCCGAGCTGCCTAGCAACGTCTTCTTGGCCGAGGAGTTCCTGGAGTACTTTGATGGGTTTTCCATCGGCAGCAACGACCTTACGCAGCTGACGCTGGGCCTGGACCGTGATTCCGGCCTGGTTGCGCAGTACTTCGATGAAAGGAATCCAGCAGTCATGAAGGGTCTGGAGACTCTGATCAAAGCCGCCAAGGCCAAGGGCAAATACGTCGGCATCTGCGGCCAGGGCCCTTCGGATCACCCTGACCTCGCTAAGTGGCTCATGGACCAGGGCATCGACTCTGTGTCCTTGAACCCCGACTCCGTCATCCCGACCTGGCAGTTCCTGAGCAAGTGAGTGATCCAAGAGCGATTTTCTTCTGGGTGCGGGGATTTCAGGGCCGCCCATGTAGTTTGCTAATGTCCGGCACACGTTTTGCGCAGGTTCAGTGTGCACTCATTATCGTTTTTCTGCTTGGCATTTCACAGGCACAAAGTGCTCCTGTGCTTCACCGGTTCATGGCCTTGATCAGCACTTGATGGAGTGCTGAGTGCTGCAGGGCCCGGGGACCAGGTCTAACAGACCACAAGCTCAGGTAATAAACATGCCAATGTTTGTCCGGGTGCGACTGCCTCCACTCCACCAGTTTTTTTGCATCATAGCCGTCAGGTGGGCGGTCAGGTTGATCAGGTCAGCTGCGTTGCTCAGGGTACACCATCTGACTCAGCCACTGCGAGCCATGGCTGTGCACAGCAAGATGTCCAGTTCTCGCCGCGCCGCAGCGGTGGCCCTTGGTGCCGGTGCCTGCGCACTTGCCGGCACCAGCTTCGTGGCCCCGCAGGCGCCGCAGACAGTCGCCCACGAGAGCGTTGGACATTTCATGCAGGCAGAGTCTCGTAGCGTCCCATCCAGCTTCGGCGGGGTCGCCGGGGTTGCCAGCATGGCCAGCATGGCAGGTATGGCAGGCCTCGCAGCTGTGAGCACAGGCCGACGCGCCAAGACCACGAAGACCGCCAAGCAGCAGCGGGTGGTTTCCGTGCAGGCACGAGGAGGTGAGGAGGACACTCGGGTCTGCATCCCATTGGAGGAGCTGCGCAACACCGACGTGGAGAAGGTCGGTGGAAAGAGTGCCTCGTTGGGTGAGATGATCTCGCAGCTGTCGGATGTGGGCGTGCCTGTGCCGGGCGGTTTCAGCACCACCGCCTATGCCTACAAGGAGTTCTTGGACAAAGGAGGCATCAACGAGTTCATCAACGACAAGCTGTCGGACGATTCCATCTACGAGGACGTGGACAAGTTGATGAAGGTGGGCAAAGAGATCCGTGACAAGATCATGGACACGCCCTTCCAGCCCAACTTCGAGGAGGAGCTTAAGGCACAGTGGGAGCGCGTGAGCGGTGGCGATGAGAAGTTCACCTTCGCCGTGCGATCCTCTGCGACCGCCGAGGACTTGCCCGATGCCTCCTTTGCTGGGCAGCAGGAGACCTACCTTAACGTCATGGGCTATGCCGACATGAAGGAGAAGGTGCACCTTGTGTTCGCCTCCCTGTTCACGGACCGAGCAATCTCGTACCGCCACGACCGCGGTTTTGAGCACGAGAAGGTGCAGCTGTGCGCCACTTGCCAGAAGATGGTGCGTAGTGAGACAGGCTCCGCCGGAGTCATGTTCTCCCTGGACACGGAGAGCGGTTTCCGGGATGTGGTCTTCGTGACTTCTGCATACGGACTGGGTGAAACTGTGGTCGGTGGCACCGTGAACCCCGATGAGTGGTATGTCTTCAAGCCAACCCTTGCAGAAGGCAAGAAGTCCATCATCTCCCGCACCATGGGCTCCAAGCTCGTGAAGATGGTGTACAAAGCTGGTGGCGGCTCAGAGACCATCGACACCAGCAGCGAGGAGAGGGGAAGCTGGTCGGCGACAGACGAGGAGGTCACGGCCTTGTCGGAGATGGCTGTGAAGATCGAGAAGCACTATGGACGGCCCATGGACATCGAGTGGGCCCGGGACGGAGATGATGGCAAGCTATACATTGTGCAGGCTCGTCCTGAGACAGTTGCCTCTCAGAAGAAGGTGGGCGTCATTGAGGAGTACAAGATGCTGGAGAAGGGCGGCGAGACGGTCGCAGAGGGCCGTGCTGTAGGCAAGCGAATCGGCAGTGGCAAGGTGAACATCTTGACCAGCATCGACCAGATGGCCGAGTTCAACCAGGGTGAGGTCCTGGTGGCAGACATGACTGACCCTGACTGGGAGCCCATCATGAAGAAGGCTCGATGTTTGGCTGCCTTGCATTCATGTTGTTAGACTTTGGCTAACATCGAGACGGCTCTTAAGGTATGCATTTGTGCTGAGAGGCCGGCGCCATCATCACCAACCGCGGTGGGCGCACCTGCCATGCAGCCATCATTGCCCGGGAGCTGGGCATCCCGGCCATCGTCGGTTGCGGAGATGCCACGGACAAGGTCAAGAAGGGCGACCCCGTCACTGTGTCCTGTGCCGAGGGCGACACCGGGTACATCTACAAGGGTGAGCTGAAGTTCGAGAGGAACGTTCAGGACCTGGGTGAGCTTCCCGAGGTAGGCTTGAAGATCATGATGAACGTTGGCAATCCGGAGACGGCCTTCAGCTTCGGCCAGCTCCCCAACGAGGGCATTGGCCTGGCCCGTCTCGAGTTCGTCATCAACAACGCCATCGGCGTGCACCCCAAGGCCCTCCTGAACTACGACACTCTGGATGCCGAGACGAAAGCCTTGGTCGATGAGCGAATGAGGGGCTATGGCAGCCCTAAAGAGTTCTACATCAACAAGATTGCTGAGGGTGTGGCCACCTTGGCTGCCTCCGTGTACCCCAAGCGCATCATTGTGCGCCTGTCCGACTTCAAGTCCAATGAGTACAAGAGCTTGATCGGAGGAGAGCAGTACGAGCCTGATGAGGAGAATCCCATGATTGGCTTCCGTGGCTGCGGGCGATACACCGACCCCTTCTTCGAGGAGTGCTTCGCCATGGAGCTGGAGGCCGTGAAGATTGTGCGCGGTGAGATGGGCCTGAAGAATGTGGAGATCATGATCCCGTTCGTGCGTACCCTGGACATGGCCAAGGATGTCAACGAGGTCCTGGAGAAGAACGGCCTGAAGCGAGGTGAGGACGGGCTGAAGGTGAACATGATGGCCGAGCTGCCTAGCAACGTCTTCTTGGCCGAGGAGTTCCTGGAGTACTTTGATGGGTTTTCCATCGGCAGCAACGACCTTACGCAGCTGACGCTGGGCCTGGACCGTGATTCCGGCCTGGTTGCGCAGTACTTCGATGAAAGGAATCCAGCTGTCATGAAGGGTCTGGAGACTTTGATCAAAGCCGCCAAGGCCAAGGGCAAATACGTCGGCATCTGCGGCCAGGGCCCTTCGGACCACCCTGACCTCGCTAAGTGGCTCATGGACCAGGGCATCGACTCTGTGTCCTTGAACCCCGACTCCGTCATCCCGACCTGGCAGTTCCTGAGCAAGTGAGTGATCCAAGAGCGATTTTCTTCTGGGTGCGGGGATTTCAGGGCCACCCACTTATTCAGCACACGTTTTGCTTTCGTTGAGTGTGCACTCTCGGAACAAGCGTTTTTCTGCCCGACGCGTTATTGGCACGAAGTGCCAAAATCGCTTCATGCCCAGATGAGCACTCGTTTGAGCTGCTTACGGGCACTTACAACAGTAAACGACCACCAGCAGACGTTTGAAAACCAATTTGGCCCTTCCGGCTGTGAAAGTTGAAATGGGATGGTTGGGAGACTGATGGGGTTGCTTCTTGCATCTGGACGCTTCCTTTCGGAGAAGTTGCATTGCTCAGGGTACGCCTCCCGAAGCGGCATCCGACTCGGCCACTCCGAGCCATGGCTGTGCACAGCAAGATGTCCAGTTCTCGCCGCGCCGCAGCGGTGGCCCTTGGTGCCGGTGCCTGCGCACTTGCCGGCACCAGCTTCGTGGCCCCGCAGGCGCCGCAGACAGTCGCCCACCAGAGCGTTGGACATGCCATGCAGGCAGAGTCTCGTAGCGTCCCATCCAGCTTCGGCGGGGTCGCCGGGGTTGCCAGCATGGCCAGCATGGCAGGTATGGCAGGCCTCGCAGCTGCGAACACAGGCCGACGCGCCAAGACCACGAAGACCGCCAAGCAGCAGCGGGTGGTTTCCGTGCAGGCACGAGGAGGTGAGGAGGACACTCGGGTCTGCATCCCATTGGAGGAGCTGCGCAACACCGACGTGGAGAAGGTCGGTGGAAAGAGTGCCTCGTTGGGTGAGATGATCTCGCAGCTGTCGGATGTGGGCGTGCCTGTGCCGGGCGGTTTCAGCACCACCGCCTATGCCTACAAGGAGTTCTTGGACAAAGGAGGCATCAACGAGTTCATCAACGACAAGCTGTCGGACGATTCCATCTACGAGGACGTGGACAAGTTGATGAAGGTGGGCAAAGAGATCCGTGACAAGATCATGGACACGCCCTTTCAGCCCAACTTCGAGGAGGAGCTTAAGTCACAGTGGGAGCGCGTGAGCGGTGGCGATGAGAAGTTCACCTTCGCCGTGCGATCCTCTGCGACCGCCGAGGACTTGCCCGATGCCTCCTTTGCTGGGCAGCAGGAGACCTACCTTAACGTCATGGGCTATGCCGACATGAAGGAGAAGGTGCACCTTGTGTTCGCCTCCCTGTTCACGGACCGAGCAATCTCGTACCGCCACGACCGCGGCTTTGAGCACGAGAAGGTGCAGCTGTGCGCCACTTGCCAGAAGATGGTGCGTAGTGAGACAGGCTCCGCCGGAGTCATGTTCTCCCTGGACACGGAGAGCGGTTTCCGGGATGTGGTCTTCGTGACTTCTGCATACGGACTGGGTGAAACTGTGGTCGGTGGCACCGTGAACCCCGATGAGTGGTATGTCTTCAAGCCAACCCTTGCAGAAGGCAAGAAGTCCATCATCTCCCGCACCATGGGCTCCAAGCTCGTGAAGATGGTGTACAAAGCTGGTGGCGGCTCAGAGACCATCGACACCAGCAGCGAGGAGAGGGGAAGCTGGTCGGCGACAGACGAGGAGGTCACGGCCTTGTCGGAGATGGCTGTGAAGATCGAGAAGCACTATGGACGGCCCATGGACATCGAGTGGGCCCGGGACGGAGATGATGGCAAGCTATACATTGTGCAGGCTCGTCCTGAGACAGTTGCCTCTCAGAAGAAGGTGGGCGTCATTGAGGAGTACAAGATGCTGGAGAAGGGCGGCGAGACGGTCGCAGAGGGCCGTGCTGTAGGCAAGCGAATCGGCAGTGGCAAGGTGAACATCTTGACCAGCATCGACCAGATGGCCGAGTTCAACCAGGGTGAGGTCCTGGTGGCAGACATGACTGACCCTGACTGGGAGCCCATCATGAAGAAGGCTCGATGTTTGGCTGCCTTGCATTCATGTTGTTAGACTTTGGCTAACATCGAGACGGCTCTTAAGGTATGCATTTGTGCTGAGAGGCCGGCGCCATCATCACCAACCGCGGTGGGCGCACCTGCCATGCAGCCATCATTGCCCGGGAGCTGGGCATCCCGGCCATCGTCGGTTGCGGAGATGCCACGGACAAGGTCAAGAAGGGCGACCCCGTCACTGTGTCCTGTGCCGAGGGCGACACCGGGTACATCTACAAGGGTGAGCTGAAGTTCGAGAGGAACGTTCAGGACCTGGGTGAGCTTCCCGAGGTAGGCTTGAAGATCATGATGAACGTTGGCAATCCGGAGACGGCCTTCAGCTTCGGCCAGCTCCCCAACGAGGGCATTGGCCTGGCCCGTCTCGAGTTCGTCATCAACAACGCCATCGGCGTGCACCCCAAGGCCCTCCTGAACTACGACACTCTGGATGCCGAGACGAAAGCCTTGGTCGATGAGCGAATGAGGGGCTATGGCAGCCCTAAAGAGTTCTACATCAACAAGATTGCTGAGGGTGTGGCCACCTTGGCTGCCTCCGTGTACCCCAAGCGCATCATTGTGCGCCTGTCCGACTTCAAGTCCAATGAGTACAAGAGCTTGATCGGAGGAGAGCAGTACGAGCCTGATGAGGAGAATCCCATGATTGGCTTCCGTGGCTGCGGGCGATACACTGACCCCTTCTTCGAGGAGTGCTTCGCCATGGAGCTGGAGGCCGTGAAGATTGTGCGCGGTGAGATGGGCCTGAAGAACGTGGAGATCATGATCCCGTTCGTGCGTACCCTGGACATGGCCAAGGATGTCAACGAGGTCCTGGAGAAGAACGGCCTGAAGCGAGGTGAGGACGGGCTGAAGGTGAACATGATGGCCGAGCTGCCTAGCAACGTCTTCTTGGCCGAGGAGTTCCTGGAGTACTTTGATGGGTTTTCCATCGGCAGCAACGACCTTACGCAGCTGACACTGGGCCTGGACCGTGATTCCGGCCTGGTTGCGCAGTACTTCGATGAAAGGAATCCAGCTGTCATGAAGGGTCTGGAGACTTTGATCAAAGCCGCCAAGGCCAAGGGCAAATACGTCGGCATCTGCGGCCAGGGCCCTTCGGACCACCCTGACCTCGCTAAGTGGCTCATGGACCAGGGCATCGACTCTGTGTCCTTGAACCCCGACTCCGTCATCCCGACCTGGCAGTTCCTGAGCAAGTGAGTGACGCACCCTATCTTGTTTCGTATCTTGCGCTGGAGGACCTTTGAGTTCGGCGCCACAGTTTTCAGTTGCTATGCTCCACTCCCTCATGGGAGGGTAGTTCTGTCAGCTATTCTGATATTCTATATCCGTACCATACTCTTATCCAAGGCGGGATGGATGGGCCAAGCTTGAGAGATCTGAGAACCCGGGCATCTTCAACTTGTGCAGGCACTTCTCTTGTGCAGGCAAATTCAAATTCGTGGTTCCGCGACCTGTCAGACTTGCCCATGCCGTGTGATGCCCCTTGCTTCTCAGAAGCAATTGATTGTGAAATCTTGGCAACATCTAAACGAGGGTTTTTCCGTTGCGCAGCAAAAGATGCCCTGCCCTGCTGCCCTGCTGTTGTGAGTCCGATGTCGGAAGGCGTATACGTGACTTGTCTCCGGAGTCACCTCGAAATCTTTCCTCGCTGCAGAGTGCTCTCTCTATGCTCGAAGTCGCAGAAACTGAAGTCGAAGGGCGGTCCTGCGATCTTGATCCTCCCCCGAGTAGCGGATTTAGGGCACTAAACACTAAACGCCATGGCAGATTCCGCGCTGCGTGCAGCAATGGCTGCCCGGGCTGCCCTGCGATGAGAGCCGCGACGAAGCGGCTCTCCGCGCCATGGAGAAGGTCTCCTGGACGGCGTTCCTCTCGGAATCTTATGACCTCCTCTGGAAGCTCTTCATTCGACCCCCAAGGCATTGGTAGCCTTTGAAAGCTCAAGACGATTTCAGAATTTCACAGGTCCGAGTACCTCATCTCCGATCTTGGGCCCAGCAAGTTCCGGATCCACTCGCGAATCTACTGCCGCGAGGTAAGGTTCCCTTTTGAGCTCAGAAAGACCGGTGTCGCTGTCCCTCTTCGCAGGACTTCCACCTGACCAACGGCCGTGGAATGCAGCTGGCGTGTAGCATCTTTGGTGACTTGGCCTCTTTACGTGACTCCGTGACTCCGTGACTTGAGCTCTCCCTTTTGAGGGTCTTATCCCAAGAAGCCCATGGCCTCGACGCCGCCGGGGGCCGCAGCAGAGGGTGGCTGTGGCGTCGCATGAGCTCAGCATAGCTCAGCGCTCTGTGCGAAGGTGCGTCATCTACTTACATGGCAATTGCTCCTCGCGGGCAGAGGCGTTGGATGTTCTGCAAGTCGGGACCTCAGTGACAGAGCCGCAGCCCGACGTGCTACGCTGCTACGCCTTTCCACCTTGAGACGTGCTCAGGTCGTGCTGGAGAAGAACTTCAGACTCTGTTGCATGGACCTCTCTGGGTGCCCCCTGCCCGGGTGGTTTCTTGAGGCAAACGGAAGGGGTCACGGCTTCTGCGCGTGACAGGTCCGGGCAAAGCGAGGGGGAGTTCATCTCTCTCGGCCACTTCGAGCAGTTGGACTTGCAGGCAGCAGAGCCCGGAGGGGGGCCCCCGGAGAGGTGTCACCGCTGTCCCCAGGTCTTGATTCAGCATCTCCGAAACCTGGGAGCACGGCTGCTGGGCCTCTGGGGAAGGCTCCACTTGTGCTGCGCCGGCATCCGACCTCCCTCCCTGAACATCCTTTCCAGTCAGGTCCATGGGCGCCGTGACAGCGATCCTCCGTGCAGCGGAAGATTTCGGCATCAGCGCACTGGTGCCTCAGTTTCCGTGACTCCAGGCTGGTGTAGCTCACGGTGCATTCCACTCGGTGAAAAAAAGAAGGTGCTTGACTCACCTTTCAGTGCCGAAGCTGCAGGGAGTGGACATAAAACCAGTGCTTCTGCTTTTGGTGGGGAGACTGTCTCAGGCAACCTACCTATGGTGGCCCAGGAGCTCGTCCAAAGCGGCGGACTCGCAGAAAGAAGCAGCCAGCGAAGCAGAGAGCGAAGAAGCAGAGTTGCGAAGCTTCTTTCAGGCCAGGTTGGCCTCCCCGACTTCCTGGTGCCCCTCCGCTGCAGTATCTCATCTCATCGGATCATCGTGCCAGTGAAGGGGGTGGGGTGGGGTGCAGGGTTTTTTGCGTTCTGAGCTGCCAGGTCCCTGGCCTTGAGCCGTGTGCGCACGGAGATCCAGGCGGCGGACCGGCAATGCGGGGG